GACAATGATGATGGTGATGATGTTGGTGATGATGATGCTGATGATGACGACGACGACGATAATGATAATGAATATGATAATGCTAATGAAAATGATAATGATGATGATGGTGAGGATGCTGATGATGATGATGATGGTGACGATGATCATGATGATAATGCTGATGATGATGGTACTGATGATGCTGATGATGATGGTGATGCTGATGATGACGACGACGATCATTATGATGATGCTGATGATGATGATATTCATGATGCTGATGGTGATGATGCTCATGATGGTGATGACGATTCAGATGATGATGCTGATGATGCTGATGCTGATGATGATGGTGATGCTGATGATGATGCTAGGGATGATGAGCATGGGTGACGTCCATGGTATTGTTATGCTGGTTATGATGCTGATGATGCAGATGACGATGATGGTGATGTGGCTGCTAATGGTAATGATAAAGGTGATGATGATGCTGATGATGATGATATGATGATTAGTATGAGTGTGGGGATGAGGCATTTGATCTTGAGTATGACAATTTGGATGCTGAGGATTATGATGCTGATGATAAGGATGATGATGATGATGATGATGATGATGATGATGATGAGGATGAGGACGATGATGATGAGGATGAGTACGATGATGATGCTGATTCTGATGATGATGATGCTGCTGATGATGATGATGATGCTGGTGATGATGATGATGATGCTGTTTATGATGAAAACGATGGCGACGATAATGATAATGATGATGATGATGATGATGATGATGATGATGATGATGATGATGATGATGGGCAATAATATGATGCTGATGATGATGCTGATACTGATGCTGATGATTTTGATGTTGATGATGCTGCTGTTGGTGATGCTGTTCAGGATGATGATGATCATCATCATCGTCCTGTTGCTTCTTGTGATGATGATGAGCAGCACAAGGAGGAGGAGATTGATGGACGAGGACGAGGACGATGATGATGATGATGAGGATGAGGATGATGATGAAGATGACGATGCTGATGATGCTGATGATGATGAGGAAGAGGAGGATGATGATGTTGATGTTGATGTTGATGTTGATGTTGATGTTGTTGATGCTGATGATGATGATGATGATGCTGATGCCGATCTTGAGTGATGATTTTGGGCGATGATGATGCTGATGATGATGACGATGATGATGCTGGAAATGATGATGGTGATGTTGATGATAATGATGATGATGATGATGATGATGATGATGATGATGATGATGGTGGTGGTGGTGGTGATGATGATGATGATGATGATGATGATGATGATGATGATGCTGCTGATGATGATGATGATGATGATGATGATGACGATGATGATGACGAGGAGGGTTGAGGATGTGGAGCTGGAGAAGGAGGGATAACGAGGGAGGGAGGAGGGAGGGAGGGAGGGAGGGAGGGAGGGAGGGAGAGGGAGGAGGAGGACAGGGGGAGGGAGGAGGGAAGGTCTCTTCAGCGCTTGGACTCCCCGCCGTGCGGCCGCTGAGGTGCTCTATCTGCTGCAGCAGGGGGAGAAGTTCACCTCGCAGGACGGCCGACCCCTCGGGGCCTCGGGCGGCGGCCGCTGTGCCGAGGGCACCTCTCTCCGCGGCCGCGCGGGGGGGGGGGGAGGCGCCGCCTTTCGGCAAGGTTTTTTTGGGGGGGCTCCTGCTCCTGCTCCTCCTTCTCCTCCTCCTCCTCCTCCTCCTCCCAGGGCTGCAGCCCGCGAGCTTCGCCGCAGCCCCGGCCGAGGAACACCCGGCGAAGCCGGAGGCGAAGGAGGGGGCCGCAGCCAGCGGAGAGGCGCTCTCGCTCGAGAACGGCGCTGTCGCGGCGCAGTGCAAGGGCTGCGGAGCCGCGGGCGTGCAGCTCGTAACGGGCCAGGGCGTCTTCGCGGAGACCTCCTACTGCGAGACCTGCTGGGGCACCTGGAACACCGCCCAGACCAGCGCGGAGAAGGCCCCCCTCCCCCCCGCAGCCAGCGCAGCGCTGCAGCCGACGAGCTTCGCCGGGCTCTACGAGCCTGCCCGGCAGACGGTCCCGGGCGGCCGCGGAGTCGGACCTGGGCAGGGCTCTTGTGCTGGGTTCGGAGCCAGTGCCTTGCCGACCCTTGCTTGCACGGTGTGCGGCCAGAAGGGGTATGCTCTCGTCGCCACCGCGGGGCCCTCGGGGCTGACGCTCCTGTGTGGCTTTTGCGGCCCAGCCAGTTCCCTTGGGGGGGGCGCGGTGCCTCAGGCGCAGGCCCGGGCCCTGCTGGGCCAGGAACGCGACGCCCAGGCCCGGGTCTTGCTGCCCGCTGCGAGCACAGCGACGAGCCCCTCCGGCGAGCTCGGGGCCGGGGGGGGGGGAGCCGTGACGCCGACGCGGAAGGCCGGCGACCCGCTGTTCCTGGAGTTCGAGCGTGCGCAGGCCCCGGCGCCAGCAGAGGTGGACGAGCGCCGCGTGGACAGGTGGGTGCGGAGGCTCCCAGACGGGAGTCTTCCTTCAGACCGGGTTGTGCTGTACTGGGCATACACACCCTGTGGGCAGCCCTCTTATGGCCACCGGCAAGTGGTGCCACGTCCCGAAAAAGGCCTCCGACCCCAAGGGAGTGCTGTTGCAATTCGGGCGGAAAAAAAGAGCAGCCCACGTATGGCTTCGCAAGCAGGGCCATGTGCACGTGTCCGCCAGCGCGGGGGCCACGGACCAGATCTTGGCCCAGATCGAGGCCTGGACCGTGCCCTGGAACAACGGCAACCCGCCCGTTCCCTGGGCGGCCGGCGGTCAGTCGAGGCTTCCGAGCCTGCCGCCGTTGCCGCCGGCAGAGTGGTCGCCGCCCCCGGCGTCTGACTGAGGCAGGTAGCTTTGCCCCGCGGTAGGACCCCTTCGGCAGAACCTCTCCCCTCCCGCCTCTCCCCCTCCCACTTTGCGCCCAGGGAGCGCCCCGTGCGCCCAGGGAGTGGCAGGCAGAGGTCGTGAAGGACACTTGCCCCGCCCACCCGCCACCTTTTGTAAGTGGTCGTGATTCATTTAGGTGTTGTTTATTGCCGTTCTGGAGCCATGCTCCCCCCATGCCCTTCTCCTCCCGCTCTTGCCCCTTCCCCGCCCTCCCGGGCGCCCCCCCACCGAATCCTCTGCAGATCGACGGCGCCGCGGTCGCAACAAACATCGCCCTGTCTTCTCCCCCTCCCGTCCTCCAGCTCCGCAGGGCTGGGTTGGGTCGGGCCGGGGTGAGATGGGCTGCTTCTCCCCGCTCCCTCGCCGTGGGGTTGGGCTGGGCGGGGGGGGGGTTGGGGCCGAGGGCCTGGGCCGCCCAGAGTGGCAGAGCAGGCGGCGCCGCGGGAGCGCTCGTCTGGTGGTCCAGCCCCGCAAGCCGCATGGCCCTTTCGCCCTTCCTCCCTCTGCTTGCTCTTGTCTCCCCTGTCTCCCGCGTCTTCTCTCCCCGTCTTCTTCTCTCCCCTTCCGTTTCTTTTGCCTTTCCCCCCCCCGTGCCCGCCCCCCCCCCCCCCCCTCCCGCTTCGGGCCCGGGCCTGCTCGGGGGGGAGGGGCCTGCCCGAGCCGGGCCAGTGAAGGCCGAGCGGCGGTCTCGGAGCCTCTGCGCGCCGTGGTCGTTGCTGTTGCCGTCGTTGCCGTCGTCCCGTCGTCGTCGTCGCTGTCTGTCGCGCCGCCGTCGTGGTTGTTGTGGTCTGTGCCGTTGCGGTTGGTGTTGCCTGCGTCGCTGCTGCCGTGTGTCCTGCCGCCGCTTCGAGGTCCCCGACGGCCTTCCTCCGCCGCCCCCGTTCCGGGCCAGGCCTCCTTGGGTTCTCGGAGGAGGCGGTCGTTGAGCCGTGCCCTCCTGTGGCCCTGGTGGTCTCGGTCCTGTTTGGAGGCTGTGGCCGAAGCCTATCGGGTGTTGTTGCCTCTTTCTCTCTGCTCTTCTAGGGTCTGGCGTGGCTGCGAACGCCTGCCTCTTGCTCTCCCCTTCCCCGGCTCCGGCGCCCCCTCCCTCCCTTCTCCCTCCCTCCCCCTTTTCCCCCCCCCGCCCTGGTGGCCTTTCTCTCCCCGTCTGGTCTCACCCCCTCCCGCCCTCCCTCCCTTCTGCCTGGCGCTTCTGGGGGGGACTGTGCCCGGGCCTCTGCTCGTGCTGGGGTCCCTTTGTCGCCACGGCTGGATTCGCCTCGGAACTCTGGTTTTTGCCCCGGGGTGCTGCGGGATTGGGATTCTTCCCCACCTTGGCTCCCGGCAGTCGGGTCGGGTCGGGCTGGGCCCTCCTAAGCTCCGGGGAATTGCTGACCATGCTTATCCTCGGGTCAAGATGGCGGCAAAGAGCGCTTGCTTCTTGCTCCCCCCCTTCCCAGCTCCAGCGGAGGTGGAGGAGCGTTCCTCGTGCCCCCCACCTTGCCGTGCCATGAATAGCCTGCTGGATGCCTTGTGGGCTGCCTTTCCCCATGACAGTGGCCTGGGACCGCGAGGTGATCCTGCGGCAGACGCCCTCCTGCACTTCAGGTGGAAGCAAATCCACGACGAGGCACATAGGCTGATGTCTACAGCGGGTCGTGGGGAGTGCCCTCCGCCTTCCAGGTCGCTCTCTGAGTTCCTTGCGTCATTGCAGTGGGTTTTGGGAAGGGGGATCTTCGATATGCCTCGGGGCGGAGCCCGGCGTGAGCTTGTGGAGGTGGGAAGTGATGTCTTGTCTGAGGTGAGGATGGGAGTCGGCTCTCCGAGCACTTAAGGATGCCTGTCCATAGATGGCTCCAGAGTGCGCTGGGGCGTCTTCACGGATCGCAAGGTGGGCATATTACAGGCTTTTCGTCGGCTCGACCTTGTTGTGTTGGGACTACCTGGGGCGCGCCTCGCTGCAGGAATCGTCGTCCTGGGGCATGCCGACATAGGCATCGTAGCGCGGGGCGGCCCCTCTTACGCCAGTGTCGCGGTCATCTGGGACAAGGTTCGGTTACCCTCGGCAGGAGCACTTGATCATGTGGGCTCCAATCGCCGGCTGTGGTTGCGCGCGATCGATGCTCATGGTCTTGCCGTGGTTCTTCTGCACGGTATATTTTCCCCCGGTCCCAAAATCTGGTCCATACAGAGAGTGGTTCCTCGAAGTGGATGGGCTGCGCGACGACGTAGAAACACTTGTGGGTCCGGCCCCGCTTGTGAAGGAGGCGTGTGTGGTTGTCATGGGGGACATTAACATGCAACTTGAAGAAATTCTTGGTGTTCGGGAGCCCTCGCGTGGTCGATCCAATCGTTGGGCGCTTTTTGCAACCACGTGGGGGTTCTCACTTCTCAATCCTCCGTCGGGCCAGGGCCAAGCCTCCACGGTCAGGCTGCCCCTCGGGCGCAAGGATCTTGCTCTCCGTCCAGGGGACACCCATCATGGAGGGAACAGTGCTCGCTGCATCGATGTTGTGCTTGCCTCCCCTGCAGCTCATGGTGTCGCTCGGGTGCACAACGGCTTGTCCTGCCGGGGCGAGGGGGGCTGTTGTTGGGAAAACTGTGTCGAGTACACGTACGGGGACCACTTCCTGATCGATTTCTCTGTTCCCTTCTCCCCTCTTCCTGCGAGCAGGGGCCCAGGATCCATTCGCATGCCGCGGTGGTGGAATTCTACGGCTCGTTGGGCCGAGGGGCTGGCCGTGGCCCGTCCGGTTTTGCGAGAGTACACGGGCATTTTGCAGCACTACTGCGTGGACGAGGCGGCCAGCTCCAGCACGAGGGGGGTGGGAGTGCGTGCGGCGCAGTGGTTGGCTGACGTTGCTGCCTGGCTACTGCACCTTATCCTTGGCCTCATTCTGGCAGGTTGGGTAGTGCCGCAGGGCAAACCTTGCCCTCCGCGGCGCGCGGGGGCCCCAGCGCTGCGGGGCAGGGTGCGGTCGGCCATCGAAGGGCCGGGCTCGGCGCAGGAACGAGTGGTGAAATGCATGCGGCTCTTGCGCCCAAGAGAGCCCCGCCCGGCTTCCCTTCTGAGGGGAAAGTGTGGCGAGACCCTGTCCGAGGAGGCCTCGCGAGGGGCCTGGTGCCAACAACTGCGGGAACAGTCGCAGTGGCCAGGCCCGTGGGATCCGGCTTTCCATGCGCACGTGCATGGTTTGCTGCCTGGACTGAAAGGCGCTGCGCGGGCCTGTCGGGGTCGGGGCTTGCACGACTCCCCGGTTGAACTGATGGAAGTGGAAGTGGCTCTGTCCACAATGGGCAGGACGGGCGCTACCACGCCTGATCTGGTGCCGCGCGGGGCCCTCCAACTTGGAGACGCCTGCCTCCTGTCCGCCTTCTGGTCGGCCCTGCGTCTGACGGGCCCTGGGTGCCTTGCCCTGAGACCAGCAGCCTGGAGGGGCAGCTGCGCCGTCCCCTTGCGCAAGGAAGGCCCGCTCGACAAAGGGAATTCTTTTCGGCTCATCATGGTGAAGTCGCAGTTGGGTCTGCTACAGGAGGTGCTGGTGCACGGGCGGCTTGTCCAGCAGCTCCGCTCGTCCATTTTTCTGGGCCAGAGCGGGTATGTCCGCGACGTGGGCGACGCGCACCTCGTGTTCCACGAGCTTGCTGCGGGGGCAAAGGGAGCAGGACGGCCCCTGTGGGCGGTTTTCGGGGACCTCCAGAAGGTTTTCCCGCGCGCGTGGAGGGAGGTGCTCCTCCTGCGCCTCCATGAGAAAGCCGGCGTGCGCGACGGCATGTTCTCTCTCCTGGCGAGCATGATGGCCGTGGACACCATCCACGTGAACTTCAATGGTGTTGCCATTGTTCTCATTGACCAGGGAATCGCGGAAGGGGGGGCGATGGGGCCGCTGACGTTCCCCGTCTACATGGACCCCCCCCGAGGCCTTGCACAAGGCAGGATGTGGGGTTGGCGTTGGTGTGCGCCTTCCGTGCATCTGGGCCGGGCGCCAGTGGCGTGGCACAGGCACCCCTGACTTAGGCGTGTCTGCCATGCTCACCAGTGCACTCCGCGAGGGCGCGCCCCTTCCCTCAGCGGCCGAGCTAGCGGGCGACCCTGTGCTGGAAGCCTCCGCCCTGGCTGCGCTCGATGCTGCCGCGCCGCTGCGCCTCGCGGCCATCTTGCGTGCCGACGACCCCGTCTTGCTTTCCTCCACCCGGGGAGGGGTTCAACGGGCACAGAGCGCTCTTGCCGAGTGGGCATTTATGCACAAGGCCTCCCCGCATACCAAGCCCTCCAAGCACGCCGTCGTCGTCCATGGGTCCGCTGTGAGCAGGCTGGCGGGCAGGGCGGCCGCTCCCCTAACCCTGCCGCTCCGGGGAGGGGCGCCCGTTCCACTTGGGTTCAAAGATGCTCATCAGTGGCTCGGGCTCCTGTGGTCTGGTGACCTCGACCTCTCGAGGCTCGCGGATGTGAAAATCGGTGCCGCGTCCGCGCAGTGCGCCTCCCTCGCGGGGCAAGTGGCTGCTGGAGTCCTTCCACTTGCCGCGGCTGCTCACGTCTTCCAGATTCAAGTCGAAGGCGCGCTGCGTTTCGGGCGGTGGCTGTGGGTGGTGGGTGAAGACGCGCCGCGCAAGCTGGGGCAGAGCTACGGGGCGTGGGCGCGCGCCCTCCTGGGTAGCCCACCCTGGCGAGGGGGGGCTCTGGCCTGCTCGGAGTTGGGCTGGTCGCTTTTCGGGCCGGCCAGGGCTATGTTGGAGGTTGCCTCCCGGCGCGCTGGTCTGTGGCAGCTTCCACGGGAGGACCTCTACAAGCGAGTGTTTGTGCGCGCGCACGTGTCAGGAGGCCGCACTTGGGCACAGCTTTCGCTGGCCCTCCTTGATGCGTGGTCCGTCCCAGATTGGCCAGCAGCAGAGGCTGCCCGCGAAGGGTTGTCTATGCGTCAGTGCAAGGCGCACGTGCGGGCCCTCCTGGAGGCCGGGTGCGTGCAGAAGCTGAGGCGGCAGGCGCTAGGGCTCGTGAGGCCGCTCCCAGTCCTGTCTCTTGGCCCAGTTCCTCGCCTGGACCTTGCCGCGGCTCTCAAGGGCTCCCTTTCGACGTCCTGCTGGGCCAGCGCTCGCTGAGCAGTCTCCGTGGGCGGCTGGTTGCGCTCAGCCACTCCGCTGGCTCCTTCTCTTCGGCGCGGAGGCAGGCTTGCGTCCTCTGCGGGGAGCAGGTTCTGAGTCCCACTTTTCATGTTTGGGGTAATTGCAAAAACACTGACGGATGCAGGCGCACTTTCTGGAAGGCCCGCGGCGGCGGGATCCCGTCCACCAGGGAAGCTGCGGCCGCGGCGATCTTGTCGGCAGCTCCGGCGGACGTTGGGTACAACGAGGCGGCGCTGATGGCGCTCCGCGTTGAGAAGGAGGCGGATCGTTTCTGGGCGGTCGCCAGCAGAGCCCTCCCCCGCTCGCCCCTCTCCTTCCCTCTCTCCTTCCCTTTCTCCCTCCCTCCCTCCCGCCTTCCGCCCGGGAGCCCGGGTGGTCGTGTCGGGTCGGGCCGGGATGGGCCTCTCTCTTCGCCCCGTCCTCTCTCCCTTTCTCCTCCTCTCTGGGGTGGTTTTCTCTCCCCTTCCGATCTCGCCCCCTCCCGCCCTCCCTCCCCTCTGCCTGGCGCTTCTGGGGGAAGGTACCCTGACCGCTGCTTGTTCGGGGGTCCCTTTGTCGCCACGGCTGGATTCTCCTCGGAGCTCTGGTCCTGCCCTGGGGTGCAGCGGGAGCGGTATTCCTCTCCCTGTGGGCCCCTGGCAGGCTGGCCGGGTCGGGCTGGGCCCCCTTCCCCCCCCCTCGGGGTGGCTCCCTCTCCCCCTTCCTGTCACCGTCCCGCACCTGCGGGGTGCGTCGACCAGGCAGTGTAGTGGGGATCGGACGAGCTCCAGGCAGGTGCTCCCTGCCTGGCCCCCCCCCATGTTGCGGGGAGTCTCTGAGTTGCCTCTGCTGCTTCGCTCTGGCTGAGGCTCAGGGCGGAGGTGTTGGCTGGAGCTGCGACGTCCTTCGGTGGCTGGGGGGGGTGTCCCTGGGTAGGGGCTGTGCCCCCCCCCCCGGCGCCTTGGCGCCGCTCCCCGGGCTCGTTTTGAGCGCTGGGGGGGGGGGGGTCCAGCGCCGACCCAAGCATTCCGCCCAGGCCCCCCGAGAGCTAAAGCTTTCGCCTACCCTCCCCCCGTTCCCTCCAGTGCTAGCGCTTTGTCTTCCAGAGCCGTCGCAGCAAGGTCGCTTCCGAACCCTCTCCGGGTCGTGGCTCCTTGCTAAAAGGAAGCGCCGTCCGACGCCTCCGCCGCCAGCTCAAAGGGAGCACACCTACCTACCTACCCTTCTCCTCCTCCTCCTCCTCCTCCTCCTCGTCCTCCTCCTCCTCCTCCTCCTCCTCCTCCCTCCTCCTCCTCCTTTTCTTCCTCCTCCTCCTCCCCCCTCCTCCTCCCCCTCCCCCTTCTTCTCTCCTCCTCCTCCTCCTCCTCCTCCTCCTCCTCCTCCTCCTCCTCCTTCCTCCTTCTCCTGGAGTCTCTGCTGCGGTTGAACGCCGCCAGCGTCCCAGGGCCGGCCAATGTAGGACGATTTGGCGACCGAAAGCCACGCATCGTGCAAGGTTGGGCGAACCGCGCGGTGTCGGAAGCCGACGCCGAGATGCCCGGTCGCCCTCTGCGGGCCTTCGCTTTGCCCCAGGAGCAAGGGGGCCGGTCGCTGCGGGCCAAGCGCGCCCGAAGCGAAAATTTTCGTGAGGAAAATCGCGACAGTTTCCCCTTCCGAGCGCTGTCCACACCAGCTGATCCTTTTGCATTGCCTGCTGAGAGCCCTCCTGGGCTACTCCCGTGGGGCCCCTCCTGGGGCTGTCCTGGAACACCGAAACGCACCAGAATATTCGAACATGCGTCCTCGCCCTCCCCCTTCATTCACCAGACCTGTCCTGGAGCGCGTCTCGGCCAGGATCTCGAGGCGAATGCACTGGAAGCCCTGCGATGACCATCGAAAGCGTCAGCACCCCTCTTCCTTCGCCTCATCCGCCTCCTCCTCCTCCTCTCTTCCTCCACCTCGTCGTCGTCGTCGTCCTCCTCCTCCTCCTCCTCCTCCTCCTCCTCCTCCTCTTCCTCTTCGCTCTGCAGTCCCCCTGCCCTCGGTGCTGGTGGAGTCTGGTCGGGGTACAGTCGGGGCGCTGAAGAAGGAACCCTTTTCGTTGGGGAAGGGGCTCGGTGTTCCTTTCTTGCTTCCCAGCTTGCCTGAGGCTTTCCCTGAGTTTCGATGGGGAATCGAAGTTTCACTCATGGAAACAAGGGGGCGTCGCTCCTTATTTATCGTTCCTTAGGTCAACGTCCCGACTGGAGGCCCCAAGGGGGGGCGGGTGTTCCAGCGGACCTCTCCTGCCCCCCTGAGCGGGCTCTCCCTCCCCTGCCCTGCATTCTTGGCCGCTCGCCCTCTCTTCGATCGAGTCGGGCGAAAAGCCGAGCATTTTTTCTGGGCGGAGGGCAGAGGCTGAAGTCTGAAATGCCGTTTCGATTGGTTTTCGAGGCCCGAATCTGCAAAGGGTGAGTCACACAGCGGAGTGATTTTCGAGGTGCTAACGCCCATATCTGGATTTCACCCTTGGCCCTCCACCCCGAGAACATGCTCAGGAAAGGGGGGACAGAAAAGGGGGAGGTTTCGGCAGGTTCGTGTCCTGTCGACGCGGCGACGACCCCAACGCGGGCGTTCAAGGATACACGCCGCCAGTGGCCCAGAAGCGGTTCAGTACTGAGCGTTCTGGCGATCGAAGGGCCGCCAGTTATGCAAGGTTGAACGGTCCACGCAGTCTCAGCAGCCGTCGCCCAGTTCGTCACGACGCGGGTCCGCGGCCTGAACTCTGCTGCATTCAGCTGGTCTCGGCTTCGCCGCTGGGCGCCTTCCTGGATGCTACGGTGGCGTCGGGAGGCGCCTTGGAAGACCACAGCCGCGTGAGCTGATTCGTCAGCTCCCCCTTTGCCGCCGCCCCCCTTCTTCGGGCCCGCTTCGGCCTGGGTGCGCGCCTGCCCCCGGCTGCGCGAGGGGAGCTGGCTCGCGCGCGCCGGCAGCAGTCCGCCCCCCGGAAGGGCCCCCGGCGGCAGGCCCGCGGAGGCGAGCACGCGGCGGCGCCGCGGCGCCCACCGCCCACGCCCCGCGCGGGCCCGGGCTCCGCCCGCTCGCGTCTGCCCGGCCGCCCGTCTGCTCGGTCTGCCTCTCTGCCCGTCGGTCTGTCGGTTTTCCAGCCGCCCGTCTGCTCGGTCTGCCTCTCTGCCCGCCCTGCCTGCCTGTCTGTCTGCCCGTCTGCCTGCCCGCCTGCCCGTCCGTCGGTCCGTCTGTCTGTCTGTCTGCCTGTCTGTCCCTCCTCCGTCTCGCTGCCGTCGAGGAGCTCACCGACCTCTTCTTCGGCTGCACCAAGCTCTTCCAGGTGAGCAGCACCAGGCTAAGGCCCCCGCGGGGAGCGGGCGGGAGGAGAAAGGCGTGAGCCGGGGGCGGTCGACTCCGAGGGCGTATCGCTGGGCAGGGCGTCTCGGCTGGGCTCTCTCCAGGCGGCTTCGATGGCCCTCGTGTTCGTCGTCATCGTCGCCGTCGTCCGTCGTCCGTCGTCCGTCGTCGCCGTCGTCGTCGTCGTCGTCCGTCGTCCGTCGTCCGTCGTCCGTCGTCGCCGTCGTCCGCCGTCGTCGTCGTCGTCCGTCGTCCGTCGTCCGTCGTCCGTCGTCCGTCGTCGCCGTCGTCCGTCGTCGTCGTCGTCGTCGTCGTCGTCGTCGTCGACGTCGTCGTCGTCGTCGTCGTCGTCGTCGTCGTCGTCGTCGTCGTCCCCTGTCCTGCGCCCTCCCGTTCCCCTTTTCCCCCTAGCCTTCCTGCACTCTCCTCCCTCAGCTCTCCCTGCCCCCCCCCGTTCTCCGACGGCGGGGGGTGCTGCATCGACCAGGACGTGTGTGTGTGTGTGTGTGTGTGTGTGTGTGCGCGTGCGTGCGTGCGTGCGTGCGTGCGTGCGTGTGTGTGTGTGTGTGTGTGCGTGTGTGTGTGTGTGTGTGTGTGTGTGTGTGTGTGTGTGTGTGGGTGTTTGTGTGTGTGTGTGGGTGCTTGTGTGTGTGTGTGTGTGTCCCCACCGCCACTGTTGGGCCTCTGCGGCCTCCTTGCCCTTCACTTTGGTGCCCTTCTGCCAGCTCCTGCCGGCCTTGGCGCCCTGGTACCCTACCGTAGGCACGTGACCCCTTTGCCTTTTGGGCTTTCGGTCGGTCTTGGCTTCCTTGTCGCTCCACGCTGCTTACTCGCTCCCCCCGCCATCCAGTCCAACATGGCTTATGGCACCTCCACCTCACCGTAGCCTCATCCTTCCACGGGCCCCCCGTCATCCTCGCCCGGACGGCTTATGGCGGCTCGCTGCTGCGGGACCCCAAGCGGTCGTTCAGGACTCGGGCGCTTCAGACGTGCGCGCCCGATTGCTGCTCCACGACTTTCTCCGCCCTGTCGGTGCGCGCAGGGCCGCGACACCTTAAAATCTGTGTGTATAATGTTTTTCCCCACATGTTCCGTGGGGTTCTGGTTTTCTTCCCTGCCGCGTCGCACCCGCGTCTCCTCCCTCACACCTCCCTCCTTCTTCCTTCCTGCCCTCCTCCACGGCACAGCTAACATCACAGCTCAGCACAGCTCAGCACGCCACGTGCACGGTGTGTGGGCTTGCATGTACGTGTGCGCGTGGGCAAGCACAGCTCAGCTCAGTACAGAGACGCAGCTGAGCACAACGGCGGCAGGCGTGGCAATGTCTCGATCACAGAGGGGGTGCGCGGGGGGTGCGGTCTCTATCCGTTGCAGGCTCCACGGCGCAGCTGGCGTGTCATTTTCTCGACACCAGAGGGGGTGTACTGGGGGTGCGGTCTCTATGCGTTGCAGGCGCGCAGTGCACGGCAGGCGCGGCACTTTCTCGACACCAGGAGGGTGTGCAGGGGGTGCGGTCTCTATGCGTTGCAGGCGCGCATTGGGGGTGCGGTCTCTATGCGTTGCAGGCGCGCAGGGCACGGCAGGCGCGGCACTTTCTTGACGCCAGGAGGTTCGCAGGGGGTGCGGTCTCTATACGTTGCAGGCGCGCAGCGCACGGCAGGCGTGGGAATTCTCGACACCAGAGGGGGTGCGTGGGGGGTGCGGCTTCTATGCGTTGCAGGCGCGCAGGGCACGGCGGGCGTAGCACATTCTCGACGCCAGAGGGTGTGCGCAGGATGTGTGGTCTCTATGCGTTGCAGGCGTGCCAGGCGCGGCAGGCGTGGCAATGTCTCGATAACAGAGGCGGTGTGCGGGGGGGGGGGCGGTCTCTATGCGTTGCAGGCGCGCAGGGCCCGGCAGGAGGCGCGGCATTTTCTCGACACCAGAAGGGTGCGCAGGGGATGCGGTCTCTATGCGTTCCAGGCGCGCAGGGCCCGCCAGCGACTCCAGAGGGGGTGTACTGGGGGTGCGGTCTCTATGCGTTGCAGGCGCGCAGGGCACGGCAGGCGTGGGAATTTCTCGGCACCAGAGGGGGTGCACAGGGAGTGCGGTCTATGCGTTGCCGGCGCGTCCAGCCATAATGTAAGTATGTGGGGTCCTCGGCAGCCTAATGCCTCAAGTCCACGCTGTCCGTCTGCCTGCTCCGCTGTCCTCCCTCCTTGTTCTCTCGTCGCTGCCGCCTGGCCGCGCTGCGCACCCGCTTGCTCTGCCACCCTGGCCTGCTTCACCCTCGCTGCCCACGCTCGAGCGCGCGCATGGCATGGTCGATCTTCTTCGAATCCCTGCCCGATATTACGAGGGGCCGGCCGCGCGCGTTCTCTGGTTGTTCGGGTGGCTTTCTCCGCCTCGTTGCTGCGCGCGATGCCACGATCGCGAAAAAGTAAGCGTGTGTGGGAGAGTGGGTCAGTGAGTCAGTGTGTGTGTGTGTGTGTGGGTGTTTGTGTTTGAGTCTGTGGCTCTAACACGCCCATCGCCTGCATGTTGCAGTGTGCAACGTTTCGTACGCTGCGCCCTCGGCAACGTTCGATTACAATTCGCATTTCAATTTGCTGCCCGCGCTTGAGGACCCTCTGCGCCGCTGGCTTAAAGTGTGTGTGTGTGTGTCAGTGTCAGTGTCAGTGTCAGTATCAGTGTCAGTGTCAGTGTCAGTGTCAGTGTGTGTGCGCGTGTGTGTGTGTGTGTGTGTGTGTGTGTGTGTGTGTGTGCGTGTCAGTGTGTGCGCGCGTGTGTGTGTGTGTGTGTGCGCGTGTGTGTGTGTGTGTGTGTGTGTGTGTGTGTGTGTGTGTGAGTGTGTGTGTGTGTGTGTGTGTTTGAGCTTGTGGCGCGGTCCGTCCTTTCCGCAGTCGTTCTCAGCGCAGATCGGTGCTCCTCCGCGATGCCGTGTGCACTCGATGTGCTTGCTTCCCGCGCGTGTGTTTTCACAGCGGGTGGTGCCACGTCGCCTGCGGAAGGATAGTACTGCTTCTGGCGCAGCGGGCGTCGGCGGGGCATCCAAATCCCGTTCTCTCCTTTGCACCTCATTGCTCCTCCCCCCCCCGCTCTCTGGGGGGGAGGAGTGGTGGAGGAGGGGTGGATAGGGGAAGGAGGGGGAACGACGGAGGGGAGGAACGAGGAGGGAAGGGGGGAGGAGGGAGAGCAGGAAGGACGGGGAAAGGCGACAGTTCGGGAAGGGCGGGCGGAGGAGGGAGCTGCCCCAGCGCCCCTCGTTATTTCGTCCTTCGTCCTCCCAGTTCCTCCGCCTGTCTCCCCTCTTCCCCCGTCGCCCCTCCCCCCCTCCACTCCGCCCTCCTCCTCCCCCTCTCACCCATTTTCTCCGCTCTTCTCCCATAGTTATTTCCCCCCCTCTCTGACCCTCGCACCCTCTCTCCGCTCCCCCTGTTCTCCTTTGCCCCTTCCCTCTCCCCTCCCCCCCCGTGCTTTTCAGTCCGCATCATTCGTTCTCTTTCCGCCCTCTTTCTCCCCGTTCTTCTTTTTCTCCCTTTTTCATTGAAGAAGTCCTTCGTCAGGTGCGACTTCGTGAGCCGAATTAAGTGCAACAAGTGTATTCTGGACCTCCAGTAAGCACCTCGGTGTCATTCTGGGGTTGGACGGGTTTCGTCAGAGTTGGCGTTCGCAGATGTCGACGCGTCTTGCACGCACGAGTAGTATCGAAGAGCTGCACTTGGGTATCGTAAGGGGGATCACTGGTTACCACGTGTACGCTTTCAGCAATCTAGGCTATGTGGGGCAGTTATGCACGCCTGCCTGGGAAGTCTTGGCTGTTCGCTACCTCCGTATGCTCGCAGAAAAATCCCAGAACACGTACAGCTTTCTCCTCCAGAGGATGCGTAATGTAGATCTCTCTTCGCAGGACCGCAAACTTGTCGTCACATTTAGAGCTGCTCAGCATGGTCTAGCTGCCAACTCTGCGGCCTTTCAATCCTGCGGCTCTCTGTTTCTGGCCCCCCGAAGAAGAGTGCTGCACTGTCTCTTTCGCACAACTCCTGATTGCTGCGGTCAACGTTTCACCAGTTGGCCGTCAGCGAGTCACCTCTTTCCTCCCTCCCCTCTCTTCCTGGCTTTGGGTGCTGCAGTCTTCAGAATACGACCGAACGCCTCCTGCAGAGGAGCGATTGTAAAGGCCTTCAGCCTGTGCCGCCGATCTGGGACTCTTCTTTGAACCCCTCGTCCTGTTCACTAGTTTGTGAGCTTTACCACGAGGAGGCAGAAGTGATCATGATGAGGAAGGAGGAGGATGAGGAGGAGGATGAGGGAGGAGGAGGAGGAGAAGGAGGAGAAGGAGGAGGAGAAGGCGGAGAAGGGGAAGGAGGGTGTTGGCAGTCGCCTTAGGCAGTGTGATGTGTTGATGTTTGCGTCGTGTCCGTCTGTCGAGCTTGCTGGCGGGCTAGTTCCCTGACCTGTCAGCTCGCTGGTGGTTCTCTTGGCTTGGGAGCCCTGGCCCCGGCCCCCGTCCCCAGCCCTGGCCCCGTCCCCAGAAAATTGTAGACCGCTCCGCCCTTTTTTCCGGAAAGGGCTCGAGCCCAGGGTTCTCTTTCAGATGGTTTACCCCCCGGTTTCGACGGCTGTAGGGCCGGCGAAATTATTCTGCGATAAATTACGTGCGGGAGTAGGGCCGGCGGAATTATTCCCGGAAAGGGCGCCGGCCCAGGGTTCTCTTTTAGTTGGTAAACCTAATCCCCCGGTGCCAACTTGAAGGAGGCCGGCGGATTTTTTCCCTGATAAATATCGAGGTCGAAGGAGGCCGGCGGATTAAAATTTGAGGATGTCTCGAGCGAAACGCTTGTTTTTGAAATCCCGATCGATAAATCACAGGGTGCGGGCCACTTTTTCGTGTGTTGAGGATGTCTCGAGCGAAACGCTTGCTCCGCAGAGTTTGCCGAGGATGTCTCGAGCGAAACGCTTGTTTTGCAGAGCCGACCGCGACGCGGAAAAGCGCCCCGCGCGAAGGAATTTCGATGATGTCTCGACTAATTCCTTTGTTTTTGTACGATTTCCTGGAATTTTGGCAGGATGTCTCGAGCGAAATGCACGACCCCACCCTAGCACGACCACCCCAGCACGACCACACCCCAGCACGACCAGACCCCAGCACGACCCCACCCCAGCACGACCCCACCCCAGCACGACCATACCCCAGCACGACCACACCCCAGCACGACCCGACCCCAGCACGACCCTACCCCAGCAAGACCACACCCCAGCACGACCACACCCCAGCACGACCTCACCACAGCACGACCACACGCCCCAGCACGACCACGCCCCAGCACGACCACGCCCCAGCACGACCACGCCCCAGCACGACCACCCCCCAGCACGACCACCCCCCCAGCACGACCACCCCCAGCACGACCACCCCCCAGCACGACCACACCCCAGCACGCCACCCCCAGCAGACACACCAGCACGACCACACCCCAGCACGACCACACCCAGTCGCACCCCCGTGGAATGTTTCGTGGCGCGGTTGAGTGGTTCTGTTCGTGGGGGTCTCGTGGAATGTTTCACGGGGTGTCTCGTTGAAATGTTTCGTGAGGTGTCTGTGGAATGTTTCGTGAGGTGTCTCGTGGGATGTTTCGTGAGGTGTCTCGTGGGATGTTTCGTGAGGTGTTCGCCCAGTTGGGTATCGTGATGAAAACGTGTCCATGCTGCACATGTCTTATATCCCTTTCCGGGTTCGTGGGTCCATCATGTTTTTGAGGATGTCTCGAGCGAAACGCTTGTTTTCAGAATTTGTTGAGGATGTCTCGAGCGAAACGCTGGTTTTGCAGAGTTGGGGATGTCTCGAGCGAAACGCTTGGTTTCAGAATTTGTTGAGGATGTCTCGAGCGAAACGCTGGTTTTGCAGAGCCGACCGCGACACGGAAAAGCGCCCCTCGCGCAGGAATTCTGAGGATGTCTCGCGCGTGCCGCGTCCCGCGCGCAGGAATTTAGATTTCTTGGGATTTTGGCAGGATGTCTCGAGCGAAACGCTTGTTTTTCCCGGAAAGGGCTCGAGCCCAGGGTTCTCTTTTAGAGGTTTACCTCCGGATTCGACGGCTGTAGGGCCGGCGAAATTATTCTGCGATAAATTACGTGTGGGAGTAGGGCCGGCGGAATTATTTTTGAGGATGTCTCGAGCGAAACGCTTGTCTTTCAGAATTTGTTGAGGATGTCTCGAGCGAAACGCTGGTTTTGCAGAGTTGGGGATGTCTCGAGCGAAGCGCTTGTTTTCAGAATTTGTTGAGGATGTCTCGAGCGAAACGCTGGTTTTGCAGAGCCGACCGCGACACGGAAAAGCGCACCGCGTAGGAATTCCGAGGATGTCTCGCGCGTGCCGCGTCCCGCGCGCAGGAATTTCGAGGATGTCTCAACTAATTCGTTGGTTTTTCGAGGATCTCCGTGATTTTTGAGGATGTCTCGAGCGAAACGGTTGTGTTTCAGAATTGGTTGAGGTTGTCTCGAGCGAAACGCTGGTTTTGCAGAGTTGGGGGATGTCTCGAGCGAAACGCTTGTTGTTCAGAATTTGTTGAGGATGTCTCGAGCGAAACGCTGGTTTTGCAGAGTTGGGGTATCTAACATGGCGTCGGGCCCAACGCCGAATTACAAGGAAACGCACGCGGGGCCGAAAAGCGCTACCCGAACACATGTCCCAATACAGAAAAGTGATGGTTTCTTGCTCTGAACAGGGGGTTGCGCTTTGGGGGCCTCTCCAGGGAAGACGTAGCGAGGATGTCTCAAGCGGGAGCGCGAATTCAGCGTATCCAGGTCACGCAGGGGGGTATCTAACATGGCTGTCCCGAGCTGGAACCACGTGTTTTTTCATGCTCAGGCCACCCAGGGAGATCTCTAACATGATTGTCCCGAGCTGGAACCACGTGTTTTTACGTGTCCAGGCCACCCAGGGGGTATCTCTCATGGTTGTCCCGAATTGGCACCGTGTTTTTACGTGTCCAGGCCACCAACACGACGCTTGTCCCCAGCACGTTCTGTAGCGCGTCCCCTTGGCACGTCCCGCGGTGCGTCCCCGTGGCACGTCCCCTGGCACGTCGCCTGGCGCGTCCCTTGGAACGTTCCGCGGCGCGTCTTCCTGGCATGTTTCCTTGTCAATTAGCTCTGGGGCAGCTACTACGTGGACTATGTGCTCAGGCAGCTCGAGCTTAAGATCCAGATCAGTTCGGTCAGGACTCGGATGCAAAGGAGGACTCGATCCACGAGGCTATAGAGCGCAATCGCGGCATGGCACATCGCAGTTCAGCACGGCGCAGCACAGCACAGCCTTCGGCACGGTACATCAAGATCGATACACTCACTCAGCATTGCAACCTGGCACGTTCTTTGGCACGTTCCGTGGCGCGTCCTGTGGCGAGTCCCCTGGCACGTCGCGCGGCGCGTCCCTGGCACGTCCCGTGGCACGTCCATTGGCACGTTCCGTAGCGCGTCCCCTTGGCACGTCCCGCGGTGCGTCCCCATGGCACGTCCCCTGGCACGTCGCCTGGCGCGTCCCTCGGAACTTTTGGCGGCGCGTCTTCTTAGCATGCCCCCCCCCGTGAATTAGCTCTTGGGCAGCTACTATGTGCTCAGGCAGCTCGAGCTTAAGATCGAGATCAGTTCGGTCAGGACTCGGATGCAAAGGAGGACTCGATCCACAACGCTATAGAGCACAATCGTCACGTGGCACATCGCAATTCATCACGGCGCAGCACGGCACAGCCCTCGGCACGGTACATCAAAATCGATACATTCAGCATTGCAACTTGGCAAGTGCTTTGGCACGTTCCTTGGCGTGTCCTGTGGCGAGTCCCCCTTGCACGTCGCGCGGCGCGTCCCCTGGCACGTCCCGTGGCACGTCCATTGGCACGTTCCGTAGCGCGTCCCCCTTGGCACGTCCCGCGGTGCGTCCCCGTGGCACGTCCCCTGGCACCTCGCTTGGTGCGTACCGTGGCACGTCCCGTGGCACGTCCATTGGCACGTTCCGTAGCGCGTCCCCTTGGCACGTCCCGCGGTGCGTCCCCATGGCACGTCCCCTGGCACGTCGCCTGACGCGTCCCTTGGAACTTTCGGCGGCGCGTCTTCCTAGCATGCCCCCCCGTGAATTAGCTCTTGGGCAGCTACTATGTGCTCAGGCAGCTCGAGCTTAAGATCCAGACCAGGTCGGTCAGGACTCGGATGCAAAGGAGGACTCGATCCACGACGCTATAGAGCACAACCGCGGCATGGCACATCGCAATTCATCACGGCGCAGCACAGCACAGCCCTCGGCACGGTACATCAAGATCGATACACTAAGCATTGCATTTGCCGGTCGCCCAATCAAGTGTCTTTGAAACGTTGCCAAGTCTTACATTTCTATATTCCTTTCCGGGTTCGTGGGTCGATCATGTTTTCCGACAGCCACCCTGGCAACCCCACCATCAGAGCCGAAGCTCGGACTGTGGCTCTTTTAATCAAGGGCTTGAAATATGCCCCTGTCCTAGTTTACGAGGCGCTGTGCATTGAACCTCCTGTGGGCTGACAGGGTAAACCCTGCGTGTCGCGCGTGTCGCGCGGCGTCCTGGCGGCTCGCTAGCCTTTGGGATCTCCCAGGAGGTTTACGTTTGGGAGCACCCCACGGTCCTCGTTCGAGCACGGCTCTGGCGTGAGATGGCCCCGCAGCAAGACTTCCTGCGTGCCTGCCAGCTGTCCTAACAGTGTGTCGTCTTCTGTGCTCTGTGCGTTCGCGATCGCCTAGTGTACCGGGCGCCAATGTCGAGGTCCGACACAGCGATGTCAGCACTGCAGGGTTGCCACGGGAGGCGCAAGCGAGGTGGTGTCGCTGGCGCTATCATCCCGTCACCTCGCACGCACCACCCACCACGTCTTCAAACATCGTGGTTGGCCCTCGAGGCCCCGACGGTGTGCGGCCTTCGATGCAGGGATGGCACAGGATCTGTGACATCGTCGTTCGATGTCGAAGCGTACACCCTAGGCGATGCTTAAGAAAACTTACGTTTTCGGCCAGAGTCTCGATTATTCTTAATGCTTCAATGTAAATCCCCAGATTTTAATAGAAGCTCTGCTTTTTGATTCAGATTCTGAGACTATGAATTTCTTAACCCATGATTTCTTAAGCATTTCGCAGGGCGTATCCAAGACGCGCGGTGACATGTACCTTGCCAGCCCTGGGCCGCGCCCGCGCGCAGCTGCCGAGGGGCGGCAGCCGCGCCGGGAGGCGAGCGCTGCCCGCGCTCGGGGGACTCCGGACATCCTCCCTTGCCCGCTGCCGCTGCTGCTGGTTGGATTTCCCCACGTTTCTTCGGCGACTGCGACTCCTCCATCTCTGCTTCTTGTAGACAGCTCCTCTCCTCCCTCAGGGAAACGAAGAGTGACATAAGCATAAAAACTCGGAGGTCCGCGCGGATGTCTCGGATCCGCGTGGACCTCTTGCCCTGGCGCGGCGCGCATTCGTCTTGTCTTAACACTTCGCAGCAGATTCAAGGATTGAGAGCGGGTGGTTCTCAACACAAATGTGCCTCTCGCCTTAGCGCCGTTCACATTCGTCTTACGCGGTGTAGCGGTTTCAAGGATTCCAGGATTTGTGTTCTTGCATGTCAGGGCGAAACAGGCACGTTGATTCGCGTCGTTGTAGTCTCAGGAGAGGTGTTTTGGCACGATCGAGGACCCTCAGACGTTTTTGTTGTTGTGCCATATGGTGCACGTTCCGCAATTAGAACGAACTCTGATAGGGATTCTTGGAGGGAGGGATGATTGCAACATCGTTGATGATATTGGGTTTGCACTGGTCCTCCTCGTTTGTCCCACCTCATTGTCGTCGTCGCCGTCCTCCTCCTCCTCTTCCCAATCTTCAGGCGGATGGTCTTCCTGGTGATCAAGGAGCTGGAGCCCCCAGACGAGATCGCCTTTATTGTGGCCTCCAGCCTGATCAAGGACGCTCACGCGCGACGCGCGTGCGCATTGGCGTCCCCACCTTTTTCATTTTTCCCGGAAAGGGCGCCGGCCCAGGGTTCTCTTTTAGTTGGTAAACCTGTCCCCCGGTGCCAACTTGAAGGAGGCCGGCGGATTTTTTCCCTGATAAATATCGAGGTCGAAGGAGGCCGGCGGATTAAAATTTGAGGATGTCTCAGGCGAAACGCTTGTTTTTGAAATCCCGATCGATAAATCACAGGGTGCGGGCCACCTCAGCACGACCACATCCCAGCACGACCACACCCCAGCACGACCACGCCCCAGCACGACCACGCCCCAGCACGACCACACCCCAGCACGACCACACCCCAGCACGACCGATCGATAAATCACAGGGTCCCAGCACGACCACGACCCCAGCACGACCACAGCCCCAGCACGACCACACCCCGCACGACCCCACCCCAGCACGACCACACCCCAGCCGACGCCCCAGCACGACGACCACACCCCAGCACGAGCCGACCACCCCAGCACGACCCCCACCCCAGCACGACCCCACCCTACACCCCAGCACGACGACCCACACCCCAGCACGACCCCACCCCAGCACGACCACACCCCAGCACGACCACACCCCAGCACGACCACACCCCAGCACGACCACACCCCAGCACGACCACGACCCCAGCACGACCACGCCCCAGCACGACCACGCCCCAGCACGACCACGCCCCAGCACGACCACCCCCCAGCACGACCACCCCCCTAGCACGACCACACCCCAGCACGACCACACCCCAGCACGACCACACCCCAGCACGACCACACCCCAACACGACCATACTCCAGCACGACCACACCCCAGCACGACCACACCCAGTCGCACCCCCGTGGAATGTTTCGTGGGGTGTCTGGTTGAGTGGTTGCCTGTTCGTGGGGTGTCTCGTGGAATGTTTCACGGGGTGTCTCGTGGAATGTTTCGTGAGGTGTCTCGTGGGTTGTTTCGTGAGGTGTCTCCTGGGATGTTTCGCGGGGTGTCTCGTGGGATGTTTCGTGAGGTGTCGCCCAGTTGGATATCGTGAAAACGTGACCATGCTGCACATGTCTATATCCCTTTCCGGGTTCGTGGGTCCATCATGTTAATTATTCCCGGAAAGGGCGTGGGCCCAGGGTTCTCTTTTAGTATGTAAACATATCCCCCCGTGCCCAACTTGAAGGAGGCCGGCGGATTCTTTCCCTGATAAATATCGAGGTCGAAGGAGGCCGGCGGATTAAAATTTGAGGATGTCTCAGGCGAAACGCTTGTTTTTGACATCCCGATCGATAAATCACATGGTGCGGGACACCCCAGCACGACCACACCCCAGCACGACCACACCCCAGCACGACCACACTCCAGCACGACCACACCCCAGCACGACCCGATCGATAAATCACAGGGTGCGGACCACCCCAGCACGACCACCCCCCAGCACGACCCCACCCCAGCACGACCCCACCCCAGCACGACCATACCCCAGCACGACCACACCCCAGCACGACCCGACCCCAGCACGACCCTACCCCAGCAAGACCACACCCCAGCACGACCACACCCCAGCACGACCTCACCACAGCACGACCACAACCCCAGCACGACCACGCCCCAGCACGACCACGCCCCAGCACGACCACGCCCCAGCACGACCACCCCCCAGCACGACGACCCCCCCAGCACGACCACCCCCCAGCACGACCACAACCCCAGCACGACCACAACCCCAGCACGACCCCAACCCCATGCATGACCACGCCCCAGCATCGACCACCGGCCCACAGCACGACCACCCCCCCATCACGAACCACGCCCCCCCAGCACGACCACGACCCCCAGCACGACCACCCCCCAGCACACGCCACAAAACACCCCAGCACGACCAATTCCCAGCAGCAACGGACCACACCGCTTGGTTTGAGTTGGTTGCCTAGTCGTCGTGGGATGTTTTCGTGGGAGTCCTCGTGGGAATGTTTTTCTTGGCGGGGTGGGCTCGTGAACACTGTTTTCGTGAGGGTGTACTCGTGGAATGTTTCGTGAAGGTGTCCCTCGTGGGCTGTTTCGTGAGGTGTCTCGTGGGATTTTTCGTGGAGGTGTTTGCCCAGTTTGGGTATCATGAAAACGTGTCCATGCTCTCACATGCTATATTATCAAAACTTTTTCCCGGGTTCGTGGGTTCCATCATGTTGGTGCGGTTTAGTTTAGTTAGTTAGTTAGTTAGTTAGTTTGTTTGTTTATGTGCCTATTTATATTTTATAGTGTTATTATGAGAGAGATAGAGAAAAAGATAACGATAGAGAGAGAGAGAGAGGGATATATATATATATATATATGCAATCACGTGTTTGGCTGTGCACATCCTGGAACTGAAAGCAAAGATCAACGCTGCCCGGTTTGGGTTATGGCAGTGCGCACGGTTTTGGGATGGCCTTAGGCGCTACGGGCAAGCAGCACCTTCCCTCTGTCTCTCCTGCTCTCTCCTCTTCCTCCCTACTTTCACGAGCTGCTTTGATCCACCGTCGAATTCTGTTCACATCCACCGCTGTGGAGTCATGCCTTGAGACCCCGAGGAGTGGCGGATGTAGATATTCTCCCGCCTTCTGGCGCAGGCAGGTGTGAATATCCATCACTTCCCCAGGCGCTCGGCCACGGCCCCAAGGCGGTGGATGTGGATATACCCTGGCGGCGAACCTGAGGCTGGAGACGCTGCTTGTCACGAGTTCCACTCCCCATGCCTCCCCGACGCAGGCTCTCCGAGTAGGCCCCGCAGTCCGCCTGCTGCTTGCTCCCGGCCCTCGGTCTGGCCCGCCCCGCCCCCCGTGACGCCGGGGCCATCGCCCGAAGGAGCGTCCCACTCCCGTTCCCCCTCCCGTTCCCGGTCCACTTCCTCCTTGCTCCCTCCCATCCCAACTCCGCTCCCGTTCCTCTCTCCTGTTCCCGTGCCGGTCCCCAGTCGTAGTCCCGTTTCTCTACGCCTCGTTCTTCTCTCTCACCGGGCCTTCCCGCCCCTCCCTGGAGGCCATTTCTTTATTGCTTGGGGCATGACGGGCGTCATGGCCCCCGCTCCCCCCCCCCCTATGACGTAACGCTCCCCCCCCCAGTGCGCTGCGGGCACTGCCGCCGACGCCTTCCCAGGGCCTGGGAAGGCGTCGGGATGGGGGCGTTGGGGCCGCCCCGGGCTGCAGTGGAGAGCCATGCCAAGAAACACCCTGCTTGCCTCCAGGGTGCCCTGGGTTTCTGGAGGTTCGATGGTTCTGCAGAGCAACGGACGTCCTGGGGTCTCAGGGTTGGGCTTCTCGTGGGAGGTTTCTGGTGGTCGAGCTCCTACTGTAGCCGGAGGGGAAAAACACGGACACAACTAATCGGGGCTTGGCTTTGTGGGCGTTCAGTACTGGGTGTTGTGTAGGACACGGAGGCTGTTCAGAACTGGGTGTTGTGTTGGACACAGAAAGAGCTGAGCACAAGGAGAGCGGGGGCGGGCGGGCGGGCGGGCGGCGGGCGGGATCGGGATTTTAATAGAACTCCTAAGGAGGGTGTCTTGCAGCGGGAACCTGTTGAGTACAGTGTGTGTGTGTGTGTGTGTGTGTGGGGCACGGAGGTTGCTGAGTACTGGGTGTTGTGTCGGACACGGGGGATGCGGAAGGGGTGCAGGGAAGGGCGCACCAGAGACCTCGAGCCACATATGTTTGTGAGTGTGAGGATGATGCTGATTCTGCTGATGATGATGATGGTGTTGATGACGAGTGCTCATGAGAATTATGAGTATGATGGGGAATGATCATGCAGGGGGATATCTAACATGGTAGTCCCCAGCTGGAACTATGTCTTCTTATGTGTCCAGGCCACCCAAGGTGGTATCCAGCATGGGTGCCCCGAGTTGGAACCACGTGTTTTCATGTGTCCAGGCCACCCACGGGGGTATCTAATATGGAACTCCCGAGCTGGAGCCATCTGTTTTTACGTGCCCATGCCCCTAGCTGGAACACTATTATTTCACGTGTTCAGGCCACACCGGGAGGGCCTCTAGCATGGCGGTCCCGAGCTGGAGCCATGTGTTTTCACGTGTCTTGGCCACCCAGGGGGGTATCTAACATGGTGGTTCCGAGCTGGAACCACGTGTTTTCATGTGTCCACGCCGCCCAGCGGGGTATCTAACATGGTGGTCCCGAGCTGGAACCACGTCCCACACAGGAGGGTATCTAATATGGCGGTTCCGAGCTCAAACCACGCGTTTTAATGTGTCCAGGCCGCACAGGGGGTATCTAACATGGTTGTCCCGAACTGAACCACGTGTGTTTACGTGTGGCGCGGCCAGTTTTCGGCTTCCAGATCCCCTTTCTGGGCTCCGGGACCGTCTAAAAACGATCCCGGATGAAAAACCGACCCTGGGGAGAGGGTCGAGACTTCTGGGGGCCGACTTGGGCCGTCTTAAGGGGCTCTTGGCTGGTTTGACGCCTTCGGAGGGGCCGCTTTGAGGGGCCTCTCTCCCCCCCGCCTCTCTCTCTCTCTCTCTCCCTCTCTCTCCCTCCCTCCCTCCCTCCCCCCTATGGGTGTTGTGTTGGACACGGAGAGAGCTGGGCACAAGGAAAGCGAGGGCGGGCGGCGCGCGGGCGGGCGGCGGGCGGCGAGCGGGATCGGGATCGGGAGGGTGTCTTGCAGCGGGAACCTGTTGAGTACAAGGTGTTGTGTTGGGCACAGAGGCTGTTGACTACAGGGTGTTGTATCGGGCACGGAGGCTGTTGAGTAGTGTGTTCTGTGTTGGACACGGAGAGGGTTGAGCACAAGGAGAGCGGGGGCGGGCGGCGGGCGGGCGCGACGGCGGGCGGCGGGCGGCGGGCGGGATCGGGATTTTAATCGAACTTCTAATGGGGGTGTCTTGCAGCGGGAGCCTGTTGAGTACAATGTGTTGTGTTGGGCACGGAGGCTGCTGCGTACTGGGTGTTGTGCAGGACACCGAGGTTGTTGAGTATTGGGTGGTGTGTTGGACACAGAGAGAGTTGAGCACGATGAGAGCGGGGGCGGGCGGCGGGCGGGCG